GGGTGAGGGGAGAGAGAGGGAGAAGGGACTTACATGTGAAACAAGCTTGTTCCCTAACTTGAACTAATAAAAAATAAAACAAAATAATAAAAAAACAGGGTGTCTGCAATCTAATCTCTGTGCTATGAAGGGGGTGGGGATGGGAGATGGCTGGGCACTGTGGCCTAGCCCCAGGTTCAGTGACAAAAATTGTATGAAAGGAATTGTGTCAAGAGTGGCATAATAGGACACCCGATGCCCTTCTCTGACAGCAGAGGTCTGAACAGACGCCAGCACCTTCCCAGGAGTAGACCCACATAGAATAGGTTAAAACAATTAAAACTGGGGGCAAAGCAGTTGAAGTTGGAAAGGCCATGCCTCATGCAGCTCCCTTCCTCCTTCGTATGTGTCCTGGATTAAAAAGATGCCTCATTGCTTATTGTAGGATGGTGGGACTGGATTTGGGATCCCAGCACCCACTTACCTAGCCCAGTGTCTTTCATATGCTACTAACCCAAGCTCTGGGTGGGGATCTGGGCCATGGACAGGAGGATCTGTTTTAGCCCCAAGTTCAGGGAGAGACCCTAAGTGATAGAAGAGGGCACGAAATGTCCTCTTCTGTGACAGAACAGGAGAATAGACTCAGACACACACTCGTGAGAGCACACACACACACACACACACACACACACACACACTACAATGTAGATTTAAAAACAGAAGAAAAAATAAAATAACAACAGAAAAAAAAACAAGGAGGGAGGAACAATAGTTCTCTAGAGATGGTAAGATGTACTCCGCAGGTGGAGTTGTTTGCCACTAAGCTTGATGCCCAGAGTTCAAACCCTGAGACTCATGAGAGGAAAGAGAGAATACACTCCCAAAACTTGTCCTCTGACCTCCATGTGGTTGTGGTGACATGCCTCCTTCCCACATACATCTAAATGTGAAAATGTTTAAAACCAAAAATTGATCCCTAAGCTTGGTCCTTCTCTTCCACAAAAGCCTCTAAGTGCTGTGACACTACGGGCTCAAGCTGGAGGGAGGAAGGTTGCTGGGCATGCGTATTGTGTGACTGTCTATGCACAGCCCTTTCCAGCTCTGAACACTCCCTCCCAGCCACAAACTCTTGGCAACTCACAGATCAGATGGGAGCTGGATGTAAAATTCCTCCCTACCAAGTCAGTGGATCAGTCTAGCTCTTGAGAGGCAACACCACAGCACTGAAAAAGTAAAATTAGATCAGTCTGAGCTGGGGAGTCAGCCAAAGGATAACAGCACTTCCACTGCAAGCATGGTGACCCAAGTTGGAATCCACAGTATCCAGTTAAAAATGAGGATTGCCTGCACTTGTGTGTAACTACAGCACTGAGAAAGTGGAGGTAGGTAGGTTCTGAGAACTGGTCTACCTGGGGTTGGAACCCTTGGAATCCAAGCCATTTGGTCCTCTTTTTTTTTCTGTTTTTGTTTTTGGTTGTTGTTGTTTTTCTCTCCATTTTTATTTAATTAAAATCAAGAACATTTTACATGTCAATCCCAGTTCCCTCTGCCTCCCCTCCTCCTCTCCCCCACCCCCCGCTACAACTAGCACCCAACCTATCCCATAACCTTTCTGCTCCCCAGAGAGAGTGAGGACTTCCATAGGGGGGCTTCAGAGTCTGTCATGTCCCTTGGGGTAGGGCGTAGACCAAGCCCCTTGTGTCTAGGCTCAGGAAGTATCCCTCTATGCGGAATGGGCTCCCAAAGTCTATTCCTATGCTAGAAATGAGTACTGATCTACTACAAAAGGCCCCATATATTTCTGAGGTCTCCTCACTGACACCCACATTCATGGGGTCTGGATCTGTCCCATGCTGGTTTCCCAGCTATCAGTCTGGGAACCAAGAGCTCCTCCTTGTTCAGGTCAGCTGTTTCTGTGGGCTTCACCAGCCTGGTCTTGAGCCTTTGCTCATCACTCCTTCTCTGGAATTGGATTCCAGTTCAGATCAGTGTTTAGCTGTGAGTGTCTGCTTCTACTTCCACCAGCTACTGGATGAAGGCTCTATGATGGTATATAAGTTAGTCATCAATCTCATTATCAGGGAATGGCATTTAAGGTAGCCTCTCCTCTGTTGCATAGATTGTTAGTTGACATCTTTGTAGATCTTCAGACATTTCACTAGTGCCTGATTTCTCTTTAAACCTATGTCTCCCTATATTATGGTATCTCTTATTTTGCTTTCCTCTATTCCAAGTATGTGGTCGATTTTAGAGAAGGTTCCATGTGGTGCTGAGAAGAAGGTATATTCTTTTGTGTTTGGATGAAACCCAATTGGGCCATAACTTCTATTAGTTCCTTTGTTTCTTTGTTAAGTTTTTGTCAGGTTTTCCTGTCTAGTGGTGACAGTGGGGTGTTGAAGTCTCCCACTATAACTGTGTAAGGTCTTATTGTGATTTCAGTTTTAGTAATGTTTCTTTTACAAATGTGGATGCCTTTGTATTTGGGGCATAGATGTTCAGAATTCACACTTCATCCTGATGGATTTCTCCTGTGATGAGTAAGAAGTGACCATCTCCATATCTTTTGATTGATTTTAATTTAAAGTCAGAATTGTTAGATATTAGTATTGCTACCCCCACTTGTTTCTTGGGGCTATTTGATTGGAAAATCTTTTCCCAACCCTTTACTCTGAAGTGCCATCTGTCTTTGAAGTTGTGGTGTGTTTATTGTATGCAACAGAAGGATGGATTCTGTCTTCTTATCCATTCTGCTAACCTGTGTATTTTTATAGGTGAGTAAAGACCATTAATATTGAGGGATATTAATGACCATTGATTGTGCATTCTTGTTTGTTTTGGATTTGGTGGTGGTGGTGGAATTTTTTTGTGGATTTCCACCCCAGTTTTCTTTTGGCGGTTGGTAAAGTGGGACTATCTATTGCCTATGTTTTTGTGAGTGTAGTTAACTTCCTTGGGTTGGAGTTTCCTTCCAGAACTTTCTGTAGGGATGGATTGCTGGATATTTATTGTTTAAATCTGGTTTCATCATAGAATATCTTGTTTTCTCCATATATATTGTTTGAAAGCTTTGCTGGGTATAGTAGTCTGGGCTGGCGTCCGTGGTCTCTTAGTGTAGGTTGACCTTCTGGCTTTCAGAGTTTCTGATAGGTTTGCCCTTATATGTTACTTGACCTTTTTCCATTGCTGCTCTTAATATTCTTTCTTTATTCTTTATGTTTGGTGTTGTGATTATTATGTGTCAAGGAGACCTTTTTTTGGTTCAGCCTATTTGGTGTTCTGTAGGCTTCTTGTACTTTCATTGGCATGTCTTTCTTTAGGTTGGGAAAGTTTCTTCTCTGATTTTGTTGAATATGTTTTCTGGGCCTTGAGTTGGATTTCTTCACCTTCTTCTATAACGATTATTCTTAGGTTTGGTCTTTTAATGGTGTCCCATATTTCCTGGATATTTTGTTGAACTGAAGATTTTCTTAGGTTGATGAGTCAGCCTTTCTATTTCCAGCAGTCCCTCAGTCTGTGTTTTCTTTATTGTCTCTATTTCAGTTTTCAGGTCTTGAACTATCTAAATTGTTTCCTTCAGTTGTTTGATTGTATTTTCTTTGCTTTCCTTAAGAGATTCATTGATTTTTTGTATTTTTTTTTTTGGTTTTTTTCTTCCATTTCTTTAACGGATTTTCTCATATCCTCTTTGAGGCCCTTTATCATTTTCATGAAGATGTTTTTAAGGCCGTTCTCTTCTGCTTCATCTGCGTTGGGATTTTCAGGTTTTGCTGGTGTAGGGTCCCTACACTCCATTGGTATCATATTGTTTTTGCTGTTGTTGGATGTGTTTTTATATTGTCTTCTTCCTGTCCCTTCTTCCGGTGGGTATAAAAGGAGTCTTTTCCTCTCCTGGTAGGTACAGGACCAAGGTTCTCTTCCAGTAAGTGCAAACAAATCCAATACTCAGTTGTGTCTCCTCTTCCTAGTCCCGTGGATGGAGGTGGGACTGGCACTGGAGCTTTGGCAGTCTCTGGTTGGGC